GGTACGTATAGCAAAAACGCGGCTGAAAACCAACAAGGCTATTGGAGCTGACAGCCTGCCAGCTGAGCTATTCAAGTTCGGCGGCGAGGAGTTGATAAGGTGCATGCATCAACTCTTGTGCAGAATATGGTCAGATGAACGCATGCCTGACGACTGGAATTTAAGTGTGCTGTGCCCAATCCACAAGAAAGGTGACCCCGCCATTCGCGCCAACTACCGCGGGATCAGCCCTCTAGGCATAGGTTACAAGGTCTTTTCGAGCGTATTGTGTGAAAGACTGAAGCCCATCGTCAATGAACTGCTTGGGCCTTATCAGTGTGGCTTTAGACCTGGAAAATCCACCATAGACCAGGTATTCACAATACGCCAAATCTTGGAAAAGACCTCCGAGAAAAGGATCGACACTCACCACCTATTTGTCGACTTTAAAGCCGCCTTTGACAGCACTAAAAGGAGTTGCCTATACGCCGCTATGTCTGAATTTGGCATCCCCTCAAAACTTATACGGCTGTGTAAAATGACGTTGAGCAATACCACCAGCTTCGTCAGAATTGGGAAAGACCTCTCCGAGCCGTTCGCCACAAAACGGGGTTTCAGACAGGGCGACTCCCTTTCATGTGACTTCTTTAATCTGATGTTGGAGAAGATAATAAGAGGTGCAGAACTGAACCGCTCAGGAACAATTTACTACAAGAGCGTGCAATTGCTGGCTTATGCCGATAACATCGACATCATCGGTAACAAAAACCTCGAAGTCTGTTCTGCCTTTTACAAGTTGGATAGGGAAGCAAAGCGAATGGGTCTGGTGGTAAGCGAGGACAAGACGAAGTATCTCCTGTCATCAAACAAACAGTCAGCACATTCGCGCCTTGGCACCCACGTCACTGTTGACAGTTACAATTTCGAGAAAGTAGAGAATTTCGTTTACTTGGGAACCAGCATTGTCAGCATTGAAATATAACGCAGAATCACTCTTGCCAACAAGTGCTACTTTGGACTGAGTAGGCAATTCAGGAGTAAAGTCCTCTCTCGACGTACGAAAACCACGCTCTATAAGTCACTCATCATGCCCGTGCTGGTATATGGCGCAGAAGCATGGACAATGACAACATCCGATGAGGCGGCTCTTGGAGTGTTTGAGAGAAAGATTTTGCGGAAGATTTACGGGCCTTTACGCGTTGGCGACGGCGAGTACCGCAGACGATAGAACGATGAGCTGTATGAGCTTTACAACGATATGGACATAGTGCAGCGAATTAAAATACAGCGGCTCCGCTGGCTTGGTCATGTCGTTCGAATGGACACCGACGCTCCAGCTCTGAAAGTATTCAACTCGGAAACCGCTGGTGGTAGCAGAAGAAGAGGGAGGCCCCCACTGCGATGGAAAGATCAGGTGGAGAAGGACTTGGCTTCACTTGGCGTTTCCAATTGGCGTCAGTTGGCGCAGAGGAGAAACGACTGGCGTGCTTTGCTGAACTCGGCCGAAATCGCTTAGGCGGTTTTAGCGCCAAAAAGGAAGAAGAAGAAGTTCTTGTCAACCGCTTCATATGCTTTTTTTTAAAGATTCCTAAAAGAATCGTAACAAATTTCCGATAATCTTAAAGATTTCGGGAGCATTTGTTTGCAGGGTATATATTTGCGTATATGTGTATGTATACACGGATATGTAAACAAAGCAAAACAGACGATAATTTGACACAAGCGTGCTCATAAGAAGAAGCATAGCTTCTATCGCTATCATCCGTAATTGATGCGCTTTGGATTAGGAATAAAAAACAATTCCATCCCAGTTGACCAAATATGGACAAATCCCATGATTCAATAATACAAGGTTATATAATTATTGACAGCTGGGGTTTGACACTCCCTTGCATTTACGAAGGACAGAGAAAGGGCAACAAAGCAATCCCTTGTTGCGAATATGGTAGTGGAAAAGTACGCAAAGTAGGCAATTAGTAGTGAAATTCCTTTTTTAAATTCTAATGTATTTGCAGGAAATCTGGCATTTTAAACGAAATGTTGAACGTAATATTGATATATCTACGTGAATTACGTAATTTATGTGATATTAAGCTATATAAAAACTGCAAAATGACTCAAAATTAAAATAAGACTACTATGAGATTGATGTAAACATCCAATGCTTATGTTTTCATCAGTTAACTATGCTCCATATACATATACAAATAAACATATTGCACAATAGCTTATACTTTTATTTCACACCAAAGCTACACTGCTTCCATGTAAATTTGCAAAGAAGCAAGACGGTGCCACTGCTAAGGGAGCGGTGCGAGAGAGACAACTGTCAGTTTATCGAACTTTGTATTATTGAATCATGGTCAAATCCCAGCGTTGCGAACGTTACGTTCGGACGTTTCTTTTAACTTTTTTGCTGACAAAAATATTATAAGTTAAAATATTTTTGTTGCATATGGGAATGTTTATAGCAGTACTTATGAGAACAAAATTAGGGAAATTTGAATTTGAGTTAATGTCGGTGTATTTGCCTTCGAAATTTATGTTCGGACGTTACTGAAAAAGGAAGCGATTTTGATATAACCATGTGCATGGAGAGCAAAATCTACAAAAATACTTTAAAGAGAACATAATGAAGTCTACAAAATGTGATATAAAAGCTAACTAAAGGTTGGATTAACTTTAAAACAATTGTATATTTGCACTCGGGACGTTATGTTACGGACGTTACTTTTTTCCGTTGAAAATTTTTATTTTTTTAAAGCGATATTGTTGTATTTTATTAAAAGAGATAGTGCATAAAACCAATGCTATTTAGAGCTTTGTTTCAAGAAGTAATCAGATTTCTCAAATAAATGTGAAAAGAAATATGAAATAAGAATATGTTATACTAATGTGTTTGACATAAAAATAAGAGAATTCGAATTGCATGCATTTTTTGCGATTTTAGTTGACTATTTCTCGGATTCGCCCATATCCGCAAACGATATCGTAAGCAGATGTTTTTCGGACGCTGCACAGTGGTCAATAAATGGAATTTAATGTTCATAATTCACTGGAACCTTTATTTCTCAACCAATTTAATTAACTATTTTTTTAAATGAAAGCTAATAAAATTTTCAAGAGAATAGTTGAGCCCAATTTTTAATTTTTAATTTTTTTATATTAAATTTTTTAGTGCAAAGTGCAGAAAAAGTGCCAATTTTGAAGATGATCGAATCTCCTGTTCCAGTTAAAAAAAGATACATAATAAAAACTAGTTAAAAAGAATCTTAGGGTTCTCCCAAAATGTGAAAAGATTAAAAAGTAATAATTCGAAAATTTATAAAAAAATGTTTACCAAAAATACTTTGTTTTTGTTTTTGGTTTTTATAAAAATTTTTGGTATGCAGTTTTATATATCATTAAATTTTAGTATAATAAAGTGCAAGTTGCAAGTCGCTAAGAGTTCGCGTTAATTTTTAATAATTTTTTCGCTAACATTTTGAGCACATCTGCATGCTACATAGGAAATAAAAGCGTTTTTTATTTTATTAAAAATCAACGCGAACTCTTAGCGACTTACAACTTGCACTTTATTATACTAAAAATTAGTAATATATAAAACTGCATACCCAAAATTTTTAAAAAAACTAAAAACAAAAAAAATACTTCTGGTAAAAATTTTTTTATAACATTTCAGATTTTTACTTTTTATTTTTTTGTTTTGGGAGAACCCTGCAATTATTTTTAACTAGTTTTTATTATGAAACTTTTATTAGCTGGAACAGGAGAATCAGTCTTCCTCAAAATTGGCGCATTTTCTGCACTTTGCACTAAAAAATTTAATAGAAACAAATAAAAATTCGAAAATTGGGCTCAACTAGTCTCTTGCAAATTGTATTAGCTTTCACTAAAAAATTATGAAATTGGTTGAGAAATGAAGGCTCCAGTGAATTATGAACATTAAATCCCATTTATTGACCACTGTACGCTGTGAGGATGAAACTGATGAAAACGATAATCGCTAAACGAACTTTTTCAGAACTTTTTTCCATAACACGTTGCTCTGTTTGTGGCAGACAAAGTACCGTTTTCAAAGGTTTGTAAACGTCTCGTTAGCGGATCACTTTGGATAGTTTTTCAAACGTATGTTTTTCCCTGTCCATCAGAATGTTCAGATTGTTTAAAAAAAGCGCAATTTATGAAAAAATCGCCAAAAATTGTAAATTTTTTTAAATAAAATTCATGACATCGATTTAACAAATATTTTATTTTAAAAATGAGATCTTCTTATAATACAGTTTTTTAAAACCAAAAACTAATATAATACCTTCAGAGGGTAATAATAAATAACACAAATCACTTATATAATAGTGATGTACAGGGAACGGATTTTATGGAAATTGGATTTAGCTTTCCCTGATTCCATATATACCCATTTGATGTTGCCTTTTTTTGCCTTTTTTAAGATATTTGCCTTTTTTTTGCCTTTTTTAAGATATTTGCCTTTTTTTGCCTGTTTTAAGATATTTGCCTTTTTTTTGCCCTTTCTACCTTTAAAAAAGTGATTATAGCATTTACAATTTTTTTTAAAGATTAAGAAATATACACATGCCCATATTCGAAAATTAGTATGTATAGAAAAACGCAGTGTGTAAGTAGTGAATACTTAAGCAAAAATAAATTTTGTAGTTTTCATGTCACTCTGTTGCATGCTAAAATCTATCAACACAGTTGCTAATGTGCACAACTAACAACTGTTTTACTTCAAAGGAGTTTGCCAGCCGTTATTTGAAACAAAAAGTTATTCAGTGTAAAAACTAAAAAAAGCAATGCCGAAGTCTAAAATTACCAAGAGTTTAAAAATTCACACTCTGATTGCCGAGTTTGGTTCGGATGTATTTTATACTGATGGGACCGTTTTATTTTGCAATATTTGTTCAGTAAAAGTTAATCACGAAAAAAAATATTATATACAGCAGCATACTAAAAGTGAAAAACATATAAAAGGATTACAAATTAAGAAAAACAAGACCCAAATGATAGCACCATTTGTGGAAAAGAATGTATTTTACGCAGATATTACTAAAACGATGATTGCATGCGGAATTCCACTTTATAAATTGAAGAGTGTGGAATTCAAATCATTCTTTGAAAAATACGTTCAGGAATCCCTTCCCGATGAATCAACTCTTAGAAAAAATTACGTGAAGGATTGTTACGAGTCCGTTTTGCAGAAAATTCGTTTAGAAATAGGAGAAAGCCCCATCTTTGTGTCCATCGATGAAACTACAGATAAGGCAGGCCGCAGTGTAACCAACGTTATTGTTGGACCGTTGCGTGAAAGCGGACGCGGCTATCTCTTGACGGTGGAGGTGTTGGATAAGGTGAACTCATCAACAATCGCAACATTGTTTGACGATTCTATGCACATTTTATGGCCAATAGGATTCCAACGTGAAAAAGTGTTGGTATTTGTGACTGATGCAGCACCCTACATGAAGAAAAGTGCGTCATCATTGAAGCTGCTTTATCCTAATATGAATCATATTAGGATCACCTGCGTCGCACATGGCGTACACCGGGTCTGCGAATCTCTACGCTCGAAGTACTCAGATGTTGACGTCTTAATTTCAAACTTAAAAAAGTTTTCTTGAAAAGCCCATTCAGGGTGGCAGTTTTCAAAGAAATGGAACCCAATCTTCCTCTGCCTCCTCAGCCGGTATGTCAAGATAAATTGCTATTGTTGTTAATTTTAATTATAATTGTTTGTAAATTTATACAGGTGATAACTCGATGGGGCACATGGCTAATTGCAGCCGTATATTATGCCGAAAACTATGATTCCATCAAAAGAATAATTGACCAAATAACGGACGATGCAGCATGTGCCAGTTTCTCGAAGCAATTGTTGAGCAAAAAATCGGTTCTGGGGAATTTGATATATATAAAATGCAATTTTGGTTTTCATTTAGAGGAAAAAGTTTTCGAACGTCTACAGAAAACAGGTTGTGGAAAAACCAAATTCTCAGTAAAAAATTAATAATTCACATACACTTTTTATGTAATTGTAGGAACTCCAGTTGGTGAGGTATTAAATATTTTGGATAACATTGAGAAGCGGCTTATAGAAGCGCAGGGACCTATTGCCAAATTGGTGTTGGAAAAATTCAAAGCCGTTTTCTCAGCTAACTTAGGCATGGAGACAATAAGGGGTGTGGATAAAATTGTTAAGGGCGAGGAAAACACCCTTATTCCTGATAATATGAACGTTTCAAACGTTCCATATTTAAATTGGGCGCCACTTGTATCAATTTACGTCGAGCGCACATTTAGTACATTCAAGGCTTTTCTTCGCGAAAATCGAATGAAAATGCTGCCAGAAAACTTCAAAATACATCTTTTGGTTCAATGTTACTACAACTATACAGATTAAAGTTTTATGAGTTAAAATCTCGAAATGATAAAATAGTCAAAGATTCAAAGTACAAATTTTTCATATAATGAAATTAGTTCATAGTTTTTCTCTTTTTACTTATAATATAAACATTTCTAAAATAAATGTAATTTTTGATTGTTCTTCGTATTTTCTGTGTTTCTTAGTGCCTTATTTTGCTTTTTTTGCAATACCTTTTTTTTGCCTTTTCTTGCCTTTTTCGCTATTTTGTTTTGCCTTTTTT